GGGGCGTTTCCTTGGAGAGAAAACAAGGCCTGGTCAGCAGCCCGGCTGTTGCCACACGCCACCTGCCCACGCCGCCCACACCACCATGCAGTATCTGCAGGGTGCGGGGAAGGCAGCAGGATGAAAGGAGAGGCAGGGACACAAGCGCCATAGAGGCAACAGTGGACCTGCCTTCCTTTACATCAACAGCCAGCACCTGCTGAACTCTGGGTCACTTAGATGGGGCAGTGTGACACCTGCCGTCCCAAGCAAGTAGCAAGTTTACTCCGAAGTCGGTGCGGCTGATGCAACCATGAGAGGTGCACACCCAAAGCATAGTCCACCTCCGTGGGACAGCGTCGGGCAGGGAGCACAGGGGTGCCCAGGGGCCGCCCCAGGGTGAACACAAATACTTTGCAGTGCACACCAAAGGCCCAGGGTCCTGCTTGTAGAAGGGCTGCTATGTGAGATGACCTGAACTGCAGGGTCCAAAGCTGCTTTGGTATCTCTGCTCTGGCAACTCCAGCTTGGCCCAGCATCAGCCAGGTCTGAGCTCTCTGGTGTAAGTCACAAAAGTGGCTGAGAGGACATACTGAAAAAGCCACCACAGATGGAAGTTCCTGGAAGTACCTAGGAGAAGGCGGGTTAACATGACAAGCTGTCAAAAAAAAGTTCCACAGAGAAGCTTATTGTGCCCTGACAGCGGCAGGGTGGGGGCAGGGAGAAGAATTGACCAAGAAAGCAAAACAGAACAGAGAGCAAGTGAACGAGTGAAAAATGGACTCGGGTGACGGCACAAATGGCAGCCACACGGACAGGCTGTAAGCAGTTTCACAAGCTGTAGGTTTCGCCAGCCAGCTTGGGCTCTCTCCTGGGCACCACCTGTATCAATGTGTGCCACTGTTGCTGGGTCCCTGGTGGTGTAGCCTGGAGCTTACACAGCACAGAACAAGCACCTCCAAGCCTCTGAGAGGGTCCAACAGACTCCACTCAAACAAAAAGAACCATCCCACAGCCCCTGGCACCCCGCACTGGAGTGGCACCCCAGAGCAGAGGCTCCAGCTGCCGAGTAACCGTGTTTTTTCTGTCTGCGGACTGATGCCTTCTTCATACATTTCCAATCAAAACAATTTCATTTTCAATGCTGATCCAACTATAACTTGCCCTCTGTAAGAAAACAGGACTTGCTCTGGCACTCACAGATGTCTTGTTTTCACAGCTATGCATTGTCAAATGCATGCAAAAATAAAAGTTCCTGGGCATGAATGAATCTTGTTTCAGAAACCTGCTTGTCCTTGAGTTTTCCTGGATCTGTGAGAGAAACCTGTGGACAACCCAGTCCAACAGAGCCAGCCCAGAGCCTGCCTGGACGCTGGGATCACTGGACCTTCACTTAACAAGTGACTGTACCTGCTGGCTTTTCTCTACGTAGGCCAGGGAACCCGCACTCCATTTTTAAATCTCCCATCTCATTCAAGTGCAACTGCAAGTCAGGCCCCTGACTCATCACTCCCATTCACTCTGGAAACTGAAGCTGTGAAACCAACCAAACCTGTCCTTGCTCTCTGCAACCAAGCCCGGCCACACCTTGCCTCACTGTGCCCAGCGATGCCTCACCAGACTGGAATCCTGCAAACGCAGGTGCTATGTGCAGGCCAACAAATGAAAAATGACTCGCACAATGAGGCCTAAGCATTATGCTGAGCCAAAACAACAACTGGGATTAAACTCATAAACCTGCATCCCACAAGTGCACACCGAGTCTGAAGTTCAAGTTGCCAAGTAGCTACACCCCTCTCTGACAGCCCATCCTCCCCAGCAGGAACCTTGTGGCCTCTGCTGGGACGGGGAACCCAGCAGGACACACATGCCTGTGTGAAGCGTCTGGCACCCAGGTTCCTGAGTCTATGTGACCCCATGTCTTCAGCGACAGGAGCCTTCCCGTGGCACGGTCACAAAGCTGGCCAACCAGATGGGAAGAGCTGCAAGAATGGAAGACCGAGATCTGGTCGGATCCCTGACGGCCAGTTCCCCTGGCCCAGACGGGGCAGGCCTGAGCTGGCAGGAGAGGGTCACATGTCGCATCAGGGATGGGACCAGACCACTAGAAGGGCACAGTCCTTGTCCTCACAGCCACGGGACACGCCGATCATGACGGGCTGGGCTCTCTGTCTGCCCACGGCTTGGGCAGCAGCCTGGCACACAGCCAACAGTGAGTTCTTCGCTGCCTAGTATCTTCCAAATGAAGCACACGAATGGTGGTGACCACACACTATCCTTCCAACGTAAGGACCTACATGTTACCACATGCGACTTTACCCACCTGTAAGAGCTCTGCTTCCCTGTCACGAAGACCCTGTCAGCACACAGATGGCCTGCAAAGCTCTGGGCCCGGCTTTGCTCACAGCTACCAGCCAGGCCTGATGGTGCCCACGGCCACACTGTGCAGGCCCCCTTCTCCAGGGTTCCCTGGGTGTCAGCTGTTGTCCCCGCTTTCCCTGGGTCCCTGTACAGCTGGATTTATGACATCCACTCAGCACTGACCCAGCAAGCACAGAGACTATCCCACCAGTAAAGTGCCCTGCTCCGCAGGGTTTGTCAGAGCAGCCACATGCTCCGCAGGGTTTGTCTGAGCATCCACATGCAGCTCGTCTTTCTGCGTGGTCCGGGCTCTGCGGCATGGGCCTTGGAGGTCGCCTCCGAGGACCACAGCGAGGGCCTAGGGGTCTGGAGCGTGAGAGGCTTCTCCCGGGATGGCCACAGTGCCTGGCACACAGTGAGCACTTGCAGCGGCTCCTCTTCCCCAACCCCTTTCTGTCTTCTTGTTATGACCCCTGTCTCAATGTTGCCGTCAACTCGGAGGGCCTGCAGCCTAGCATGAGGCTCCAGGCCAAGCGGGGAGTGACTGGCTGCAGCAGACAAAGGGGATGGACAGCCCCAGCCTCCAAGTCACCTGCGTGTCCCTAGAGCTTGTTACACAGCCGCATGGACACCAAAATGCCGTGGTTAGGACCCCAGGCTGCCCCAAAGCCCACCTTGGGCTACAGCATTGGTGCCAGGGGTCAGGAGCCAGTAAGATACCTTGGACATAGCAGGTAGGCAGTCCCCACGGGAGGCGCTGGGGAGCACCAAGTGAGCTGCACTGTGTCTCTGATGTTCCCATGAGACTCTCCTCATGCCTCTCTGCTTTTCTCCTGGTGACGGTGCTCCATGACTGCCCTTCACCCCTGAGGGAACCATAGCCCTCACTGGGCTCTGCCTGCTGCAGGGACCTGCACTGTCCACATGGAGGGAAGCCACCTTGCTCAGTCACCTCCCCAGGGACCCCAGCTCTGTGACTGTACAAACATAGCCACCTGATGCTGTGGGGGAAGTGGAGTGAGGGGCACAACAGAGTGGATGGTCAGGACGGCTCAGCACCAGATGTGCTGCCCCAGGGACTGACTGGGACACTTCTTTTTGCTCACCACCATGAAAACTGGTGCTGCCTACGAGTATCACACTGGCTAAACCTCTGCCTTAAGGAACTTGGCTGGTGTTTCGTTGCATGCGTGGCAGTGGAGGGCGAGACCTGGTGTGGGCACTGCTTTGCCCCATGTAGAACATGAGCTGAAACACCCATGGTTCCACCAGTCACACCCTCATAACAACTGCCTCCAAAGCGAAGGCAGGATGGGCAGCTCAGAGCTGCTGCTGACACCGGGACAAAACCCTGGCCAAGGGGGAACTGGGGATGTCACGACCTGGGCATCATGGAGGGACCGAGTCCAGTAAATAGTCGGTGGAGTAGAGGGAAAGAACTGCAAGCGTTGGCAAAGGTCTCCGAAATGAGAACAAGTCAGGGGCAAGAGAAAGAGTTGTGAGAACAAAACACACACACGCAAGATTCTGTTAGTCCTTCAGCCCACCCCAGCTGCCTGGAGGCACTCCACTGTTGGAGGTTTAAAACCAGAAAGCGCCGCCCAGCCAGAGATGCAGGATCCCAACACCCACAGGAGGCTGATGCCCACTGCCTGTGCCAGGAGTCAGTGGCCCGGGCCACAATACTGCAGTGTCTTGTCCGTGGCCACAAGGTTCTGGAACCCACACTGGGGCAGGGGCTAGGAGGGAAGTGAAACTGACCATCCCCACATCAATTAGTGGCGATTAACCCTACTTAGGACACTCCTCAGCCTTCCCTCCCTCGCACACAAACACGCTGAAGGCTCAGAATGACACCAGCCATTATCTCCCCTCCCACCCCATGGTGACACATCCCACCAGCCAGGTGCCCCGCCCGGTCGTGGGGCCTTGCGGCCTGTGACAGGCGCTTATTAATGCTGACAACACCCCAAGAGAGGAGAGAGCTGTCACTGTAGCCTCTTCATGGTTCTGGGCAGGGGACAAAAACGAAGCAAGCCTGAAAGGACTGGGGGCCTGACTCAGAACAGGAAGTCAGGACGAGCACACCCCTCCCTGCCTCGCCTTTGGCAGCCAAGGAAGCATTCTCAGGAGCAGAGACCCACGGGCACAGGTGAATCCTCCTTTAGGTGGCCACTGGGCACTGGGCGCTGAGTCCTTGCTGTGATGTCCCCTGAGACCCTGCATCTGCTCAGGACAGACCTCTGACTGAGCAGCCACTGCCACTCAGATACAAGCAAGGGGTGCCCCACTGGCCGGCCGCCCTGACCCTAAGGACACCATCTTCCACCAGAGCACAATAAGTGCAGTAGATGAAAATGCCAAGTACACAGCCCCCTTCTTGAACCTTCCTTAGCTCAACCCACCCTGACTTCACCACAGAGAGGAGGGAGGACAGGCAGCCACTGGCTTTACAAACCAGGACAGGCAGCACGGGGCACCAGGCGCCAGTCTGAGAGTCAACCAGAATGCCTCCTCTCGCAGGAGGAAGAGGGGACAGAAGGGAAAGGAAGACAGGCCTGGGACACCTGGCAAAAAACACGGCAAACTGCAAACACCAACCCGCTGTCCCAGCAGCAAAGCCCTCCTGCTCCACACACAAGGGGCCCGGCGTGACCCACCTTGGCCTCATCATTGATGTCCCATGTGAAGGAGATGGCGTTGTAGGCGATCTCCTCAATGTTACTGATGGTGTTGAAGCTTTCTTTGTAGTCAGCTGCACAGAGACAAAAGAGAGAAATCTGTGGCTTCACCTGGGATCATATGCAAAGTGAGATTCAGCTATTTATGCCCTCACTTCTGGATAACTGAGTAATGTGTTTGGATGCAAGTTCAAGAAATGAAATGGGAGCCTGGCACGGTAACCTAGTGGCTAAAGTCCTCACCTTAAATGTTCCAGGATCCCATATGGGCACCGGTTCTAATCCCGGCAGTCCTGCTTCCCATCCAGCTCCCTGCTTGTGGCCTGGGAAAGCAGTGGAGGACAGCCCAAGGTCTTGGGATTCTGTACCCACATGGGAGACCGAGAAGAGCTATAGGCTCCTGGCTTCGGATCACTTCAGCTTCGGCTGTTGCAGTCACTTGGGGAGTGAACCACTGAATGGAAGGTCTTCCTCTCTGTCTCTCCTCCTTTCAGTATATCTCACTTTCCAATAAAAATAAATAGATAAGTCTTTAAAAAAAAAAGAAAAAGAAATGAAATGAAATCTCTGAAGCTTTTAAACGGAGGCAGGCTAGGCCACATCTAGTTTAAACCTCAGTGTATCAAAATTGGGACAGCGTAGGTCTAAAATATTTAAATAATGATCCCCAGGTCTCAAAACTAGTCCAACGAACCCAAACTGGAACTCTGTTCTCTTTGAGTTCTTCTGATTAGAGAAGGCGAGCATTACAAACAGTAACGCAGAAAGCCTACGTGAGGATGACTAGCCATGAGCAGTGTGCCAGGGGGTCCTTCAGGAAACAGGGCTGTGTGTGGCTGTCACAGCTGTGCGAGGTCCCAGGCAGCAACACCATCCGGAGGCACCGGGGCAGCTGGCCAGTGGTGTGCTTCCTAGATTCCCCCTCACCTCCACCTTGCATTTCTAAACGCCAGCCAGAGCCTCTTACAGAAGCCATCACCCCTCACCCCAAAAACACCTGCGGGCTGCCAGGTGGGACACTGCTCTGCCAGCTGCTGAAGCTCCTGGTGTCTTGGCAGGCACAGAGACAGCTGTCACCCAGGCCCAAGTCTTCTTGAAGGAAGCTGTGTGCGGGCCCAGGTTCCAGGAGACTCAGGATGGCATCAGGAAGAGTTCAGCAGCTGGCAGAAAGACCCAAACGCTTTTGGGAGGAAGCTGAGCACGGCCCAAACCAACTGGCTCGGAAAGCTGTCCGCGGCCGACGGAGCGGCAGCCGGACGGGGCCCACGCACCAATGTCGATGCACCTCTGCTTGGCCGTGTGCTGCCGCGAGTGCCAGTACTTCCAGTGCCTTAGCTGCTCCTCTCTGCTCTTGTCCTCGGCAAACACAACCATGATCACGCTCTGTGGACGAGAGGGCATCATCAGCTGACAGGACAGTGCCAGCACACCTGTAATCACGCCCCGGGCTGGATCTGAGAGCCCTCAAGGAGGCCTGCCTCAGGCCTCGCAGTCGGGTCCCTGGCTGCACCCCCAAAGAACAGGACCCAGAGCAGCACTTACCCGGACTTTGTTGATGGGGTGCTGGATGCCGTCGCTGCTGCTCACCTCCTTCAGGGTGATGGGGTAGAACTGGCCTTTGTTGAGGTACGTCATGGTGCTGTCCCCCGGCTTCTGCCTCAGGGACTTGGAGGCCTCCAGGGTATACTCAAAGTTGTTCCTGCAGAACAGACAGCCTGCTCTCTCACCCACTCCCTGGGGGCCGTTACACCAGTGCCAGTCCAAACCCGAAGTGCTTCATTGTGGACATGCGGGCAGCTAACAGCCCACAGCACTTGCTACCTTCCTCAGCAACCAGATCTGGAACTAGAAAATGCTCACCTAGGAACCCTACGCTGTGATGTTCACAATTAGACATTGGCGGCTGAGGATATGGACGATCCCCACGAGTGAGGAGGCCTTTACAGGAGAAGCCGCAGGGAGCTCGCGCAGGCTGTGGGCAGGTGGCCGCAGCCCTCCAGCCACAGGGTCCTGCGTCTCTGCTCATTAGCATCATCTTCATGGGCCCTCACCACGCTCCACTTCCCTGCAACCCACACGGCCACTCACATTCGCCCAAGTTTCACCATAACCTGCCCGAGCCAAGGGGCAGCAAGCCATACCCCCCCTTTGAGAGTGAAGCTGTTAGAAAATGACCACACCATGTGTTCTCATGTCATTCATGGCTGCATCGGCACCAGAGCTGCATACTGGCAAATACACACCGAGGCCACATGGGCCGCAGAGCTGCATATGTCCACTCTCGGATCTCTACAGAGTGCCCACACCTCTCCCCTCCCCGGGGCACAACCCCGCGTCCTTAGGCAGTGCTGTCAGGGAAGTGCATTCAACTCCCAGCGAAGTCCTAGTCTTTCAGAACAAAAAATACAACACGTTCCTGCAGAGTTAACACATTAAAGGACACACGAAACAGTGATCAAATGAAACTCCACACTACTTTTTTCTTTTTTTTTTTAAACAGATCTAATAGTGCTTCTAAGTTCCGCATTCACTTGGACACCATTCCTGTCCCCAGGTTTATAAATCCTACCATGAGGCAAAGAGAAGCTGTGGGGCCAGAAAAAGCCCGATTTCATGTATTTTAGCTTTAATTTAAGCAATAGTTTAGCATGAATAAAGTCCATCAAAAATAAATGCCTTGTGGGAGCAGTAATACCCGCAGGCCACCAGAAGCCCTGGTTCCACACTCAGGGCCTCCGCTTCGGGTCCAGTTCTCTTCTAATGTGCGTGGGAAAGCAGCAGGCCTTGGGCCCCTGCACCCACGTGAAGACTCGGATGGAGACCTTGAGTTACTGGTCCGGCCCAGTCACTGTGGCCAATTGGGTAGCAGACCAGAAGCTGGAAGATCTACCTCTCAGCCCATACGTAACTCTCCCTTTCAAATAAATCTTTTGAAACAAATAATTTGAAAAAATTAATAAAAGCCTTTATGTACCCAACGATGCTCCAGAATTCTTCCCGTGACACTTGCAGAAACAAAAGGGCGTTCTGGCTTCAACCCCCAGCTCTCCCCGACGCCCCATCCCACTGTCGCAGAAGCAACCCGAGAGGAAGCACCGACACCAGGAACCAGGGCATGTGGCAGCGCTCCCCAGCGCATTCAGCTCAACAGGCCGAAGCAAGGGTCCTCCACCGGCGGGACGCCCACAGGGGCAGCGAGGGGAAGTGGGGCCGCGAAGCCACCAGGGGAATCCACATCCAGGCACACAAAGGAAGGAGCCACGCAAGCTGGAAGTGCAGGTTCAAACTGAAAGACAGCTATTACCCAGCCACACTGTCAAAAACATAGTCCTCTGAATTCACGCCGGGCATCCGCAGGCTGAGCTCCGAGGGGAAGAACACCTGAAACATCAAGGTCACGGCCACGCCATTTATCCGGCTCCTCGGCACCCGGTCTCTGCCACCGCAACCTGTCTCTTCACACAACACTCCAAACAGTGATGGAAGAAAGCAAACACCTGCTTTGACATCACACGGAAACTGAACAAGACAGTGTGGGATGCATGTTGTCTCCCACAAGGCACCTGGGACCCATGGCCCCCGGCCTGCCCTTCCCATAATTCCATTTCTGTTCCAACTCTGGAACCTTCTAGAAGCCACCCAGGTGCCGGGGCTAGCTGTGTTTCCCAAAGACAGGCTGCTGTGGCTTCCCCTACTGCACAGCAGGGAGAGCATTGGCTTTCCCGCTGCGGGAACAGAGCCTCAAGCCCCTTCTGTGCCAATCTGACCTGCTCGTGGTCCTGCAGCCCCAAAGCACCAAGTCACAACTGTAGATGTCACTTCATGCTGAGGCCTCCTGGAGCGGGTCTGGGCTGGCCCGAGCGAGGGCACCTGTCAGAGCAGGCCACGCACGGAGCTCTAACACCTAGTAGCCCTGGACCTGAGATGATTGCTAACCCAGCTGCTGGTAAGATTAGCCACTGCACCTGATAATACTTTCTGGCTTTGTGGGATTCATTTACAAATTACAGCCATGGGCCTTTCCTACTAAAAATTGTCTATTCCTAATCCGCTGCTCTCAGACTGAGCCTCAGACTTCCGTAATCAGGAGAGGGAGGAACCCAACACTGTCCCAAACCCACAACTGTGGTAGCGCCTGCTCCCCGTACCTCCTGCACACCCTCCTTGAAGGGCTCCGAGAAGGTGGAGTCTGGGGTGCGCCGTTGTGCATTCGGGGGCTGGGCTGCAGAGCTAAACTGGTCTGAGTTAAGGTTGCGGTCAAAAACCACCACACGCTCTGTGGGCTCGGGGTGGTACACGGCTGGGGGAATGCCCACAGCAAAGCCGTGTGGCTGGATCTCCGTCTTGATCGAGTGGGTGGGCATCGTTGCAATGGAGACGGTGACTGTGGTGTCAGGAGCGGCGAGGTGGCCTCGCTTGTCGCCAGTCAGCTGGCTGCCGTGGGGCAGGACGATGTTGAAGGGCACGTTCTTTAGCACCTGCACCCTGCTCTCGCCGGCGGGAAGTAGGGACTGCTCAGCCACGCTGGGCATGCTGTTCCTGCCAGGGAAGAGAAGAGAGTGCTGCCGGCCAGCCCCACAGCTACACTGGACAGTTTCTCTTCCTTCTGGCCCGGCGCTGGTGGGTCCCGGGTGGTCAGCAGAGGCATGGCATGGCAGCACCTGGCTGGAGCACGGAGGACGTTGCCGTGGAAGGCCATGCACACCCCAAGTGCTGCAGAAAAGCCTTCTGGCAACACCAAGTCTCACAGCTCTCTGCTAAGAGGCTTTGCTTCCACTGATCCTAATGAAAACGTTTGTGTTCTGGAAGCCTGAAGCTGCAAAGGTAATCCGATTAGCTGGCTAAAGTGCAGGCGCTGGGGTCAGACTGCTCCATCCAGACCCTGTGTCACCCTGACACAGCACTTCCTCTCTGAGGAACCAAGTCTTCACCCAGAACAGGGGTGGGGCAGTGGGTCCCCACTGGGCTGTCCCAGAGTAGGTGCGCTAACAGTCACATGGCCAGACCAGCACACAGCTGTGCAACAAGGGCGAGTTGCTGCCATCTGGTCACCAACTACGGCAGTTTTCTCTCCCCTTCTCTCTTTAAAACAGGTCTAAGTTAGACTGTTTATTCTTTAAAATTACTTCTCCTTAGCAGTAGAGGAGGAAAGAGGAAAGAGACAGAGTTCCCTCTGAGGGCTCACTGCCCACAGGCGGGCAGCCAGGAGTCCAGTGCAGGTCTGTCCTGAGCAGGCAGGGGCCTAACTCCTGCAGGCATCCACTGCTGGCCGAAGGGTGTGCACTGTGGGCAGCTGGAGTCAGAGCTGGGTTGGGACTCAAACCAGGCACTCGGGGATAGGCTGTGGGGAGCCGCAGCAATACAGTAACCGCTGTGCCAAATGCCACGTCATTTCCCAGTCTGGCTTTCTCTAACCCTACCCTGTACCAGCACATGCATAAAAACAAATTAAGTTTTCTGAATACTGTACGATGATTTTTAGCAGGTAACAGGAATTTTTCAAAGTCCTTTAAAATTACAGGGGCCTAAAATTTTAAGGAAAAAAGCAAATTGGCAAGACTACATGTTTTCAGATCAACAAAACTTTGAATCTTGAACCATAAATTTATTCCCAGGAATTTACACTAAAGAAAGGGGAAAAGATGGGAAGGTTATCTAGAATGTTGTTCATTAAAGGGTTGACATTAGTGAAAAAAAAGTTACAACCACAATGGTAAGGACAGTCAGTTTGCGTCAAAATGCCAACAAAACAGAAGACTGGGCGGGGCAAGAAAAAGCTCCCACGGGGAATCCCGCCTCGTGCTGCTGTCTGTGCAGCTCCTGGGTTCCTGTGGGCTCAGCTATTTCTACTTTGTGACATTTGAAAACTCTCATGGTAGACTGTAAAGAATAAAAGCCCAAGCTCTTCCTCAAAACACAATGCTTACGATGAAAATGACAACACAAAGAATACTTGAGCAAAGTGCTGTAACCCTGTGGGAACCCCGTGGCCACAGCCCGTGCCTGCGTGCACACCCAAGCTCCGCAGCCTTCCTTCCTGCCTCCTGCAGGGACGAGGAGCTTAAGACGCGCTTGGAGAGGAGCTTGCCAAGCTGCAAAGGCAAACCTTCATTTTCTGGGAAGTTTGAACCTAAAACATCAAAAAATCATTTCAACAAGAACATAGACACAATTTATTTTCTTAAGCTTTACTCAGGCAGATTTTTTAGGTCATTTGTATCTAATTTAAAAAAAGATCTATTTTATTCTTATTTGAAAGCCCAAGTTACATAGGGCAGAGAGACAGAGCCAGACAAGGAGAGGTCTCCCATTCACTGCTTAACTCCCTAATTGGCTGCAACGGCCAGAGCTGAAGCCTGGAGCTTCTTCCAAGTTTCCCACAAGTGTGCAGGGGCCCAAGGATTTGAACCATCCTCTGCTGCTTTCTCAGGCCTTAAGCAGAGAGCTAGATCATAAATGGGGCAACCGGGAGAAAAACCGGTGCCCACATGAGATGCTGGTGCTGAAGTGGAAGCTTTGATGATTATGCCATGGAAGCCATCTCCTGTTTTTTTTTTTTTTTTTTTTTTTTTTAAAGTGTATACACCTTCCCCTCCACTACAACATCCTCCTAAAAAAAAAAAAACCCTCAAAGACAAAGAATCCCATTGGGTCTGTTGCTGTGGTGTAGGAAGTTAAGCCTCTGCCTATGCTGCTGGTATCCCATACAGGCATTGGTTCAAGTCCCAGCTGCTCTACTTCCAATCCAGTTCCCTGATAATGTGTCTGGAAAAGTTGTGGAAGATGGTCCTGCTCCCATGTAGGAGACCTGCAAGACGCTCCTGCCTCCTGGCTATGGACCAGCCTAGTTCTGGCCATTGCAGCCATTTGGGGCAGGACCCAGCAGATGGAAGATCTCTATCTGAAAATTTGTCTTTGAAATAAGAATAAAGCCAAACAAACCCTGCATCTCAGCCAGTGCTGAGACAGCCCGGGAGGAGCAGCGGGAGGGGCAGCGACAGCACGTGTGCTCTCTGCAGCCGACAAAGCCCAGTCTGAAGAAACGCACCGACCAGCAGCAGAGCAGATCCGAGTGCAGCCACCAGAGGCCGGCCTGTGGCCTCCACTGGGCCGCTGGACCGCGCGTGGGGCCCACCCTCCCCCGGGGCCAGCCAGCCTTACCTCTTGCTGTGATCTTGCTCTGTGTGCTCTGGCTCGGGCTTCGCCGTGGAAGACCTCCTCTCTCTGGGAACCTGGGAGTTAACACAGAAAGGATCAGGTCCCACCCCAGGCAGGAAGGTTCTCCCAAACACAAGCTCCCCGCTCCCGCTCCCTGCCCACTTTCATTATTTTCAAAGGCCTGACAAATTAACCTAGTGGCTAAGAGCCGCCCCGCCTTGGACGCGTGGGAATCCCATATGCATGCCAGTTCGTTCCTGGCAGCCCCACTACCCATCCAGCTCCCTGCTTGTGGCCTGGGAAAGCAGTGGAGGATGGCCCAAAGCCTTGGGACCCTGCACCTGAGTGGGAGATCTGGAAGAAGCTCTAGGCTCATGGCTTTGGATAGGTTCAGCTCTAGCCATTGCAGCCACATGGGGAGTGAATCAGCGGACAGAAGATCTTTTTCTGTCTCTACTCTGTAAATCTCCTATCCAATAAGAAGAAATAATCTTAAAAAAAAAATGTCTGAACTGTGCAGATGCAGTTACATCGTAGGGCGGAGTGTGCCAGCCGCACCGGAGTGTTCATGTGGCAGGCCTCCTGGAGGTCACTCTTTCAAAGGAATCATTAACTTGTCTCCTTTCTGTGTTTATTAATACATCATAACCAGTAAAGCTTTGGAAGCCCTTTTATAAAAAGATCTCTTTATTTATTTATATTGGAAAGGTAGATTTACAGAGCTTTTCTCACATGGGGTCCACACTTCAGACTATGGAAACACTCAGAAAACATTAGCTGGGCGTGTATTTTTTTTTTTTTTCAATGCCTCTAAACCTGCTGATCTCCCTTCCTACAAAGTTTTAATTAGAACAGAGCCACTCCAGGGGTAGAAGTTTGATTGGGCAGGTAGGAGGCCTGCTTTGGGTCTGGCATAGTAAGTAGCCTAGTGGCTAAAAGTCCTCACCTTGCATGTGCCAGGATCCCATGTGGGTGCCGGTTCATGTCCCGGCTGCCCCACTTCCCTTCCAGCTCCCTGTTTGTGGCCTGGGAAAGTAGTGGAGGACAGCCCAAAGACTTGGGACCTTGCATTTGTGTGGGAGACCCAGAAGAAACTCCTGGCTCCTAGCTTCAGATCAGATCAGCTCTGGCTGTTGTGGCCGCTTGGGAGAGAACCAGTAGATGGACGATCTTTCTCTGTGTCTCTCCTTCTCTTTGTAAATCTGACCTTCCAATATAAATAAATAAATCCTGTCCAAAAAAGAAAGTCTGTTTCCCACAGACAGGGCCTGCATCTGTTTCTTGGCCTGGGATGTGGCCCCAGCTTCCTGTCCACACAGACCTGGGAGGCAGCGACGTCTGCTCAGGTAGTTGTGTCCCTGCTACCGTGGGCTACCAGCTCCCTGCTTGAGCAGTGTCCAGCCCTGGCCGTGCTAGGCATCCGGGCAGTGAACCAGCAGAGGGAAGCACTCTCATTCTCTCTGCCTCCCAAATAAATACATTTTTTGAAAAGTAACTTCATAATACCTTAGGAACTTAAAAAATGAATTGAACTAAAACAAATCACAAGACAGATACACAGATGTACCTCAAAATCTTTTGGAGGAACCAGCATTGTGGCATAGCAGGTAAAGCTGCCGCCTGTGATACTGGCATCCCACATGCATCCATCCACATGGGCGCCAGATCATAACCCAGCTGCGTCACTCCCAATTCTCCTCGCAGCTAACTGCTGGAGAAGGCAGCAGAAGATGGCCCAGGCATTGTGTCCCTGTCATGCACGTGGGAAACCTGGATAACTCTGGGCTCGGCGCTTGGCCAGGCCCGGCCCGGCCCAGCCCAGCTCAGCCCAGCCCTAGTTCTTGTGGTGGAGAACGAAAGAGCAGATGAAAGATCTTCTCCTTCTCTGTCATTGTGACTTTCAGAAAATCAACAAATCTTTTTTTTAAAGATTCGTTTATTTTTATTGGGAAGTCAGATTTACAGAAAGAAGGAGAGGGAGAAAGAAAAGTCTTCCATATGACAGTTCACTCCCCAAGTAGCAGCAACTGAGCCAATCTGAAGCCAGAAATCAGGAGACAGGAGCTTCTTCCAAATCTCCCACTCATGCAGGATCCCAGGGCTTTGGGCTGTCCTCCACTGCTTTCCCAGGCCACAAGCAGGGAGCTGGAAGGGACGTGGGGCAGCTAGGATATGAACCAGCACCCATATGGGATCCTGGCGTGTGCAAGACGAGGACTTTAGCCACTAGGCTTCTGCACTGGCCCATAAGTCCTAAATAAATAAACCAATGAAGTTCATGGGGTTGATACCACAGCACAGTAGGGTAAATGACCACCTATTATCGGCATCCCTTATGGGTGCCAGTTTGAGTCCCAGCTGCTTCACTTCTGATCTAGCTCTCTGCCCATGTCCTGGGAAAGCAGTGGAAGATGGCTCAAGTCCTTGGGCCTCGCACTCTGAAGAAGTTCCTGATTCCTAGCTTTGGATCAGCTTAGTTCCAAACATTGTGGCTATTTTGGGAATGAACAAATGGATGGAAGATCTCTCTCTCTCTCTCTCTGTATCTTTCCTGCTCTAGCTCCGCATTTCAAATAAAAATAAGTTAAAGCCTCTAAAAATTTTCATAGAAAATGAAATTTAAAGTTTGTTTCGTCGCAAAAAAGTTTGAAATCCATACATACCAGGAGTCTTCACAAAGTATATAAAACATGAATTTAAACTTCTTTTGCACCAAAATAAAAATCTGTTTTTCTGAGCTTCTCTAACTAGCCTTTATAATGCTGACTTGTAAAGCAACCTTGGTGGCTAGGCATCCCAGACAAGGGTTCTTCCAGCTCCCTTCACTCTGAGGCAAGTCCATGTTCATGTTCAAAGACACTGAAACCTTACACACAGGCTGGGTCCATGGTTGCTACCAGGAAGCAGCTGGTCTACTCTGCTCCCACTCTGATTCTGATACTGCACTGTCCTGCCTGCCTCTCCCCTAGGGCGCTCTCTTCTTCACACAGTGTGAGAACACCATAAAGGCAGCCCAGTGGGGAGGCCCAGAAAAGCTGCTCGGGAAGTGATTGTTCATTATTTTAAGTTTCCTGTAAACTTGAGCTATCAATACAAAAGGGCAAAAACAAACTGTTGTGCACAAGTGTGTGTGTGCGTGTGCGTGCAGATGTTCACCTGTGTATATGTGTATATGTGTATTCACCTAAGGAATCACCGTTGTGCACACGTGTGTGTGTGCGTGTGCCTGCAGATGTTCACCTGTGTATATGTGTATATGTGTATTCACCTAAGGAATCACCGTTGTGCACACGTGTGTGTGTGTGCGTGTGCCTGCAGATGTTCACCTGTGTATATGTGTATTCATCTAAGGAATCACCGTTGTGCACACGTGTGTGTGTGTGTGTGTGCCTGCAGATGTTCACCTGTGTATATGTGTATTCATCTAAGGAATCACCGTTGTGCACACGTGTGTGTGTGCGTGTGCCTGCAGATGTTCACCTGTGTATATGTGTATTCACCTAAGGAATCACCGTTGTGCACACGTGTGTGTGCGTATGTATGTAGATCTTCACCTCTGTGTGTGTGTGTCTGTCTGTGTGTGCGCGCACACACACATGTAGATATTCACGTAAGGAGTCACTGTTGTTAAGAGTTTCTGAGATGGGTGGGCGTGTCCTCGCTGGCTCAGTTGCCCTGATCATTGCAGTTCCAGATCCTGCCAAGCCAGCAGATGTTGACTAGAGCACACAGAGCTACCCTCACGCGAGTCCTGCATGGTGCTCCTGGTTCCTGGCTTTGGATGAATATTCTCTCTCTCCCTTACTTTCTCTTCATTTCTATGTAACTCTGTTTTCAAACAAATAAAAAAACAAAACAAATCTTAAAAGATTTTAAGAAGTTAAGCCAAAGCCAGGAGCCAGAACTTCTTCCATGTGTGTACAGGGGCCCAAGCACTTTGGCCATCTTCCATGGCTTTTCCAGGTGCCATCAGCAGGGAGCTCTATGGGGAAAGGATTAGCCAGGCCTCGAGCTTGTACCCATATGGGATTCTGATGTTATAGGCAGAGGCGTAGCATAATGTGCCACCATGCTGGCCCCCAAACAAGATTTTGAAAAAAGCCATTCCTGAGATTCTTGCAAAGCTCCTGTGTTAGTAAAGGGCAGCCGAGGCAGTGCCAAGAAGGCACAGAATAGTCGCACGTGGCCACTGAGGGAGATGAGGACCCTGTGGCAAAGCCGCGCTCCCACACAGTCCAGTTTTATTGGCTTCAAGCTCTTTGTGGCTGTCTGCACTTAATCTGTTCTTGGCCAAAGAGAAGCATGTCAGGTGAACAGACCCAAGAAGATGTACGCGTCCCAGCTGTGTGATGTGGGACCAGGGGACACACAAGCTAGTTCAGTGACAGCTCAGGGCCCCAGGGCAGCAGGAGGGCAGGTCAGGCAAGCCCCGTCACCTTGAAGGATCCAGCTCAGGAAGGCTGCTATAACAGCAATAAGCCACACCCTGCTCCAGGAGGCCTCGACCTGGACACCATGTGGGGGTTGGGTGGGGAAGGTGTGTGCACCAACAGATAGGCCCCATACACGTTCCCACCCAGAGCCACAGCAGCTGGCTCCTGCATCCGACCTTAACATGGCCCTTTGATTTCTGTGATCGGACTTTCGGGCTTTGAGCCACACCAAGGTACTCATTAAGTTCTTTATAGTGCCGACACAGGCAGGCTGCGCTGTGGCCCGTGGTGGCCAGCAACCTACCTTGTAGTAGTCATACAGCAGGCCCAGCGCCGCGGCGCTGTCTTCGTCCCCGTTGATGCTCATCATGGCTTTGGTGGCCGCGGTGAGCGGGTTTTCCAGGAACGACTTCCACGCCTCGTCCTCGCTGGTGTAGGAGCGCCGCTGTGGGTAAAGGGCCTCATTCTGAAGAACCAACACTGGGCGCTTGCTTGGAAGACATTACAAAGAAAAAAATGAGCAAGACATCATAAGCTATGCCTTTAAAAAGATTACGTTGTTTGTCTGAAAAGCAAAAGGAGGAAGAGAGATCTTCTTTTCACTGGTTCATTTCCCAAATAACCACAAGGGCTGGGCTGGATCCCCATCTGGATATCCGGATCTCCCACGCGAATGGCAGGGCCCAAGCCCTTGAGCCGTCTTCTGCTGTTTCCCATGCACACTGGCAGGAAGCTGGATGGGAAGGAGCAACTGCTCTGATACAGGATGCCAGGCTCGCAGGCAGAAGGCTAACTGGCTGTACCGCACGCCCACAGGCTGGATTTTAAAGACCCAAACCAAGAATTCCTTTACATTCTGATAACAAGTTTCACCGATGCCCAAGTACATCAAATGAAGAAGGTGGCACAGCATGTCCATGAGCCCTCTAGTGACACAAGGTATTTATGCAGCCGGGACACCTGGAGTTAACCTACTCGTGGAACCCAGCATATACTCCCTGGCCAAAAAAAAAAAAAAAAAAACTAAGAAAATGCCAGGCTATTCAAACACTTAACATAAACAAACACCAGGACAAAGAAAGGCAAAGCAGCCTTCCTTGGAACCCACATTCAACACAGGGATCTCCCAGGATGCGGTGCCCCTCATTCCTCCCCCTGTGTGTCCTGCTAGCACTGGCAAATGTCCCAAGCAGCCAGGACAGGCACAGAGTAAAGGGATGTACAGTTAATGCACGGGGAAGATGAGAAAGGTAGACTCGAACACAGGTGGCCAGCAGCCCATGCCAGCGACTGAGCATGGAATGTGGCCAGGGGGCCGTAAGTCAATAAAGAGACATCACTTTCTGGCCTGGGAGTTGCCTGTTTATCTGGGAGATAAACATTTAAGAATCTTACAACAATAAATGAGCAAAAAAGAGACTTGAAAAGACTCTTTCCTCTAATGGGGACCCTGGTGCGACAAACTCAAGAAGCCGAAGGCCATGAGCACGGTGTCTTCAACGAAGATGTCACTTAAGAGATTAAAGCAAACATCAGTGATTCCAGAAGCCTGAAATGCAAACAGCCGCAGTAACCGTTCACTTGGAACTATTCAGTAAGTCAATAGAGAGAAAGAAAATTGAACACAGAGTCCAGCAAAATTAAGCCCTTTAAAATAAAAAAAAAAAAAGAAAGAAATGTTTGGGACAACTTTGAATTTATCACTATTGTAATGAGCAAACTTAACCATCAGTTCTCATTGCAACATCCAGATGAAATATGGAACGGCCTGAAGGTGACCTCCCCACTCCCCGGAGAAGGCAGAGACCCTGATTAACTCTCCAACTATTGGCAGTAGAGCTTGGCAGGCTCTTACAATAGAGGCCGATTTTTATAAAGGAGAACATCTTCAAAAGGTGAGGGGGGGGCCAAAGAGGAGGAGGGCCGCAGACTCAGAACCGAACTCGCCCGCACACACCTGCACGTGGTCAACAGGAGGGGTTAGGTCACCAACAAGTGTTCTCACCTCTGACCCATGAGGACCACGGAGTGCCAGGCTGTGACTGTGCGTGGGTTTGTGGGGAGGCGGGGATGGACCCCTGTGGGTGTCCTGGCCAAGCTACTGCCAGAAGTCCACACCACAGTGCCTCCGGGCTTGGCCAGTTCCCTTCAATGCTCCGGATCCAGCCTCCAGCCTGCTCCCATCACCCCCATCCCAAATTTGTACAAGCAACTGAAAATATTTTTCAGATGGCTTATGTGTGCGATCACCCAGAAGGTGTTTTATATTTCCCAAAGCCTGCCTCGGGCCAAAATGAGAGCTTTGGAAATACAGCCTTATCTCAACTCTTGGTCAAGTCACCAACACACACAGCCTGTGGCTTCGAGACTACTTCCTCGTGTAGTCCCGAAGCTCCCGGCCCGCTCCCGGCCCCATGCACAAGGCATCACCCCACACCCAAACCGCCAGGATCCTCGCTCAGCAAAGGCCATGCGCGACCCACCCGGCCTCCACAAACCCCACGGGGGTCCTCGGCACCTTCCCATCCCATTTCTCCACCAACTTTTCCTAAAGCCCACACGGGTGTCCCCTGGCTCGGCTCCGAGGCCTTTTCCTACTATCGTCCACAGATCTGGGGCGGGGGACAGGGAATAGCCGATTTTCACACAGAAAAGCTGCCTCAGGCACGACCCCTCCGGGCCTGCGCCCCCTTCTCCCTCTTCCCCGCGCTAATCGGCGCAGCCATCGCTAATTACCCGCAGTGATGCAAGTGGCACGCGCACTCCCACAGCCGCTTTCCCACTCGCACTGCCAGCCTTCCAGCTCGCCCGGGGCCGCCGGCGCCTCTTCCCCCTCAGTTCCCGCCCGCGACGACCTCACCTGTGCCGCCGCCGCCCCGCGGCCCCCAGCGCTCCGCCCGCCTGGCCCGCCTGGCCGGGCGACGCCGCGGGTCCCCCGCACACCCCGCACACCCCGCGCGCGGCCCCGGGCCGGGCCTGGCCGGGGGGCTCCGGCGGCGGGGCTCCGCTCCGACCCAACAAAGAGGCGGGAAGGGCCGGCGCCCACCCCGTCAGGCCCGGCCCGGTCCCCGCCGCGCCGGCTCCCGCTCGCTCGCCCGGGCAGGCGGACGGTCGGGCGGGCGCGGGCAGCGGCGGCCGTGCCCCCTGCCCCGGGCAGGGCCCCTCGGCGGCGGCGGCGGCGGCGGCGGGACTCCCGCGCCCGCGCCTCACTCACTTGTCGTACTCCTGTGTCATCGCGCTCGCTCGCCGCGGCCGGGCCGCAGAACTGGACTTTCGGGTTGGGACAGTAGAGCCGAGCCGGGGGAGGCGGCGGCGGCGGCGGCTGGCAGGTCCGGAGCGGCGGCCCCGACGGGTTGGGTTCGCTTTTCTCGCTCTGAGCCGGCTCCGCGCGGGCCGCGCGCACTGGGCGCCGCGCTCGGCCGCTCATTGGCTGGCGGCGCGCCTGCCCGGGGCGGGGCCTCGGGGGGCCGGCAGGCCGGCCGCGCCTTCTGATTGGCCGGCGCGCTGGGCGCCGGGGCGGGGCCTTCGGGCCCGGCGGCGCTGGGCGGGAGTGGGCGGAGGCGCGGCCGGGACGGCGGAGGCGCGGCCGGGACCTGGCGCGCCTCCGAGGTGCGGGGAGAGCGGCTCCCGGACCGCTCCGGGCAGTGCTCCCAGACAGTGTTAGACACGTACTGCGGTAGGCTGTGAGGTGGAGGGCAGAGCCGGCGATGGGGACTGTGGCGTGGGGCTGAAGCAATGGGTCAGGTAGATCCCCGGGGTGCGCCGCGGGACAGCCGTGTGGCTGGAGAGGAACGGGAGCGGATTCTGTCAGGAGTGTGCGCTTTGCTCTGAGGAGGCGGGGGCGGTGCTGGCACAGCTCACTCAGGTTTGCAAAGGTTTAATCTGGCTGCTGTGCTAATCAGGAGGCGACAGTGGTCGTCCAGGCGCGGCCTGGGAATGCCCTGGGAAGGAGATATGGGGCTGTAACCGAGGCAAAGGAGGACCCCAGCGTGTTCTGCGGAGGCGAGCTGACAAGAGGCAGTGTAGACCATTCAGGGAGTCCTGTCCAAACTGGTGTGTCTTGCAGATGAGTGCTGGGCCCAGGTGGACCTGCCTGAGACCAGAGCTGGCATCTGCACCGGCAGTGTCCCCGTGGTGTTTTGCAAAAACAGAAGTGGGACTAGCTTACTCAGCTGTCTGGGACCGAGCCCTGGCTGGCCCACTTTGGACCCAGCTGCCTGCTCGCTTGCCTGGGACACTGTGGGAGATGACCCAGGACCCGGCCGACCTGGGACACTGCTGTCCCAGCCCCAGCTGCTGCAGCCATTGGGAGGTGAACCAGCAGATCAAAGCCCTCTATGCATCTCTTTCCTGCTCTCTGCCTAACTCTGCCTTTCAAATAAAAAATTGTAAAGCATAGGCTCATGTATTTTCTTGAATCCTTATTTATTTATTTATTTTAGAGACAGAATTCCCATCTTCTGGTTCATTCTCCCATGGGCATGGCGGGAAGCTACCACCACTGCCGCCATCACTGCCTCCTGCTAGGGTCAGCTGAAACAGGCACATGCCAGCTACTGGCCCTGGGCACTCCAGCAGGGCACACAGGTGGCTTAACCTGCACAGTGCAGCCGCACCTGGGGAGCTGTTAAAGCTGCGACAAGGGCCAACTCTGCAGGGCCGTGAGGAGGACTGGGGGCCAGCATGGAGCAGGTGACAAGAGGTACCAAGCCAAAGCCAGTGTCGAAGCTGAGCAAGGGACCATCCACTGGTTGCCTGGTCCCCAGAGAGAGCACACGAGGTCCTCAGCACTGTTGGCTGCTGCCTGTGGACATGCCTCTCCTGTGGCCATCTTGCTCCTGGTTGTCCAGGCCCCTGGGGTTCTAGCTCAGAGTCCCCAAGTTGCTCCTGTCTTCCAGCCCTGGGTACCACACCAGAGCACAATGACTTTTCACTTCCCCCTGGTGTGTCTGCTGTTTCTAGAAACCACACTTACACGGGAGCTAGTCTGAGAGAAAGTCAGTAAAAGTAAGGGGGGGTGGGGGAGGAGAGTGATGCATGGCTTTGGTGCAAAGCATCCAACAGCAGCTGAGGTGACAGACGTGGGAATAAAGGCCCCTTCACCTGCCCATACTGTGTCCTGTCCCAGGCGCCTCAGCTCAGCGCCCTCCTATCAACCCTGCACTTTCCTGTCCCACTCATGCCTATTAGTGACCCCCAGCACCCCGTTCCCTGCCTGTCCTGGGCTTGCCCAGGCCCACAGGACACACTGCACCTTGGGGGATCCCTTGCCTGGGCCCGGTCACGTGACTGTTGGTGCCTCTGCCCACCAGTGCGCAAGCACTGTACATATGGAGTACGGGGATGGCACTGCCCACAGGCCAACCTCCCCGGGGCCTAGCAGACATGGGGAATGTCCAGTGCCCGTCAGCAGGGCCCTGATGTTTGGCACTTTCCCCAGGTGCATGTCTCAGGGCCTGGTCCATGGCAGACATGAAAGAAACTAGAGAAACAATGAAGGAACAACAAAGCAGAAAGCCAAAAGCCAAAGCCACCACAAAGTGGATGTACTGATTGAAACAAACACGGGGGCCCAGATCAATAGTCTAGTGGCTAAAAGTCCTCGCCTTGAACATGCCTGGATCCCATATAGACTCTGGTTCTAATCCCAGTGGCCCTGCTTCCCATCCAGCTCTCTGCTTCTGGCCTGGAAATCAGTCAAGGATGGCCTAAAGTTTTGGAACCCTGCACCCCCATGGGAGACCCAGAAGAAGATGTGGGCTCCTGGCTTCGTATCTGGCCATTGCAGTTGCTTAGAAAGTGAATCATCAAACGGAAGGTCTTCTTCTCTGTCTCTCCTCCTCTCTGTATGTCTGCCTTTCCAACACAGTGGCTCACTTGGCTAATCCTCGACCTCCAAGCACCGGGATCCCATCTGGGCACTGGTTTGGTTTATGTCCACTTCCCATCCAGCTCCCTGCTTGTGGCCTGGGAGAGCAATAGGACCCTGCACCCACGTGCAAGACTTGGAGGAGATTCCTGGCTTCTGGCTTTGGTCGACTCAGCTCTGGCCATTGGCGGCCGTCTGGGAGTAAACCAGCAGATGGAAGATCTTTCTCCCTTTCTCTCCTTCTCTGTTAATCTGCCCTTCCAAATAAATAAATAAATAAATAAATCTTAGAGGAAAAAAGAAGACAAGTCTGGGAGGCAGGGCTGTGGCAAGATGTCAGTCTTGTGCCCTCAGTTTTCCACTAGCACATTCAAGCCTGACAACATTCTGGCATGGTTGGTCAGATGTAAGTCAGCCTGAGGAAGTTTGCTAGAGATGGGATTAAAAGGCAAGCTCGGAGCAGGTGTGTGGCAGAGCAGGGAAGTTGTGCCTTGGGACGCCTCACCCATCCCATGTGGCTGGGTTTGTGTCCTGTGTCTGCTGCGATCCAGCTCCAGCTAACACAAGCCCTGAGAGGCAGGTAGGGGTTCAGGCTCTGGGGACCCTGCCTGCCACATGGAGGCCTGCGGCTGAGTTCAGGCTTCTGGCTTCAGCCCGTCTAGCCCTGACTGTTGTGGGGAGTGAACCAGCAGATGCAAGATCTCTCTGTCTCCTTCTCTTTCTACCTTTGAAATAAAGTGTGAGGGGACAGTAAAAAATAATGAAATGTAGTGTAAAATTTTTGGAACCCATGTGTAGTTTCCTTATAATGTATGCTTTCCACAAACCATGTGAAAACTTGGTACAGTTTCAAAAATTGTTTTTCACCAAAATAAGTTTATCTTTTAATTCCAGTTTTACACAAAGTCTTTGAAGTGCCCTCATTTAACCATAGGGTAAATTCCTAGAATTGGGGAAAACTGTGCAGACCTCTCCCTGTTGTTCCCCTAAGGCCCCGTGGAGACCCCGTTAGTGAGGACCACCCCTTGCCAGCCAAGGGCGAGCAAAGCTGACCTGTGAGGGAAAGCGGTATTCCATTGGCTTGATCAGTTTTTCTGATGCTGCGAGGTTTAACGTCTTGATCTTTTGGACCACAACCCTTTAAGCTCAAGGAGGAAGTAGTTTTATTTATTTATTTTTTTAAAGAAAAAGGATCTTGGGACCAGCACCATGGCATATCAGGCTAAGCATCCTCCTTGGCACCAGCATGCCCTACGGATGCTGGTTTGAGTCCCAGCTGCTCCACTTCTGCTCCAGTTCCTTGATGATAACCTGAAGAAAACAGCAGAAGATGGTCAAACCAAGGACAACAGCCTGTGTGAGCTGGGGCTCCCCAGGCTCACACCCTGGAGGATCCCCATTCAGGGCCGGGTGTGGGGAACCTTCCTGGGTGACTGCTATGTCCTTTGAAGAATAAAGGGCAGGCTCCCTTGTCTGGGGGCTTGCTGGCTGGGGTATGACCTCACTACCTCTAAGTAGTAGAGTTCACTACATACGGGGTGTTCCGGCCTGATGAATCAGCTTGCAGGGAAGTGACTTCTTGTGGGGTGGAAAGGTGCTGGCCACGCTTTGGCCATCTCCCTGATGCTTGCCCCACCTTCCCCCACCCCAGCCTGCCCTGGGAGTCTGCGCAGCAGGAGGGAAGATGGGTGGAGGAGTTAGTGAACTCCAAAGTTAATGAACTTAGTGAACTCCACCCAGGAGTTCACTAAGTGCTGAGCCTCAGCTTCCCCGACTGTGGGCTATGCCAGTCACACCTATCACAGGGCTTTCTTCATTTTAAAGATATATTTATTTGATTGAAAGGCATTGCAGAAAGAGAAGGAGAGATGAGAGAAATCTCGTATTGCTTGTTTACTTTCCAAATGGTTTTAGTGGCCACAGCTGAGTCTGAAGCCAGGAACTTCTTCTAGATCGCCCACACTGGTATAGGGACCCCAGGACTGGGCCATCCTCTGCTACTTCCTCAGGCCATGTTAGCAGGGAGCTGGATTATAAGTGGAGCAGCAAGGACATGAATAAGTGATCGTATGGGATGCTGGCAGCACAGGCAACAACAACCTACTACATCACGACACTGGCAGGCAGAATAACAGAGAAGGAGACAGAGTGAGAGAGATCCTCCACTGCTGGTTCATGTCCCAGATGGCCACCATGGCCAGAGCTGGGCTAGAGTGAAGCCAGGAGCCGGGAGTTTCTTCCAGGTCACCTATGTGGGTGCAGGAGCCCCAGCACTTGGCCCATCCTCCACTGTTTTCTCAGGTGCATTAGCAGGGAGCTGGATGGAAGCGGAGCAGCCAGGACTCAAAATGGCATCAATATGGGG